TATATATAGATAGAGAGAGAGAGAGAGAGAGAGAGAGATATATATAAAGAGAGAGAAAAAGTGAGAGAGAGAGAGAGAGAGATACATAGATAGATGGATACATACATAGATACATACATAGATACATACATAGATAAATACATAGATAAATATAGATATTATAATGATACAGTCCAAGAAGGACCACCACATTATGACCACTTTTTACCTCAACAATAGTTAGTTTTCTCAGACTAGTTCAGTCAAACTCACTGTGGCACTTTGGTTGAGTTTAGGGATAAATATTATTATGCATAAATAGATAATAGCATTACATTGTGTACTGTCAAACCTGCTCTAATAACCACCTGACCTGTCCAAGACAATCACGTGTACAAAGAACAACTTCCCATTTCCCTCTGGCATTTTTCTTTTTTAATTTTTCTGTTTGTACTGTTATAATGAAGCTGTTCAAGATGTCCACCTGTCTAAGATGGTCACTTTTCTCCTCCCCACGGGCTGGTTCGATTGTACGTGTTGTTTTAACCCTATCCGTACGCCTGGGGTCATTTTGTACCCTTGGAGTTGTGTTCTTCACATTTTAGAATACTTCTCGTGCAAAGATCTCTTTGAAACTTTCAGTATTTCTCTAAAAAATCATTTTGACGGACTGCTGTGCAAAGCGTATGGATCGGATTAACGAGTAAAATTCGTCTTTGAAAAGTGGGGGCACAGAGTTCCCCACGTCGTATGGATACGATAGTAAAACACCGACGTACGGATAGGGTTAACAGCAGCTTTGTGTTGACATTTTCTTTCTGTTGTTCAATCAACTTGATTTTGTTAATAATGTCGCCAAAAATATCTCTAACCTTTCAAACCATCTTCCCGTTCCCTTATCTCCCACTCTATCCAACTCTCACCCTCCCCATCCCCTTCCATCTCCCCCCCCTTTCCCCATGCTTTCCCTCCCTTTTCTTCCACCCCGCCCCCTTCCACCTCTACCATTCCCTTCCCCCTTTTTGGTCCTCCTCCCCCTTCCCCCTTTCCATCCC